CCCCAAAACCCCAAAACCCCAAAACCCCAAAACCCCGTTTTTTTAAAGGGGGCTGAAGGGTTACATCAATAAATATTTATTCTGAATGGATCCAGTCGATATGTAGGTTTGTTCATAAGCCGTATTTGAGATTTTCGCTGATTCACATAGCTAAGTTAGCTTAGAGGGATTTTAGTGGAATTTGGCATTTTGAGTGTGATTTTTTAGACCATATTATGTGAATCAGAAAGCTGAAAGGTATGTAGAGGCTTTTGAATCAGGGAGTTTGTATTTTTGTATTTTGGGGTTTGGGATGATTTCAAATTTTTTATAATGAGCTTAGATTCCCAGAGCCAAAGCCAGAGCCAGTGGTTTATAAGAATATGATATCAGATTGCTGTCAGTTATGCCCTAACAAACCATACAACTACATCTGCAACCCTCATAAAGTATGTTTCTCAGCATGCCCTAGTTGCGTAATGATATTGCACTCAAATTGCTATTCTCCTGCCTCTCCCTAATCCCAGCCCCAAAAATTTCCTCCCTCTTGAACCCTACGTATCCAGGATCAGGACTACTCCAGAAGAGATCCAGGCTAATATAGCTGCTATTAAGAAAGTACTCAAGAAAATGAAGAATTATGCACTCAGAGTTATGAAAATGGGCAAAGAAGAGACCCTAGTCATGGAAATTGATGGGCTTGAGCTGGAGTTTAGAAGTTTAGTGGTTAGAGTGGAGGAGGGGGTTGGGGATTACAGGCAACTAGACACACTCTACTCCAACCTAAGCTCATTCTCCCAACGTGTACACTCCCACAATTGCTTCAGAACAATCTCAGCGTAAGGTCCAACCACTACTAACATTTCCAAATTCAACTTCTACATCTCAAAATTTCGATATCTCTGAGGTTCCTTTTATAGCCTTCTACATTAATCACTTTAAAGCCATTTTAAGATCCTTTCTCCGCTATCAAAATTTTCTACAAATTATATCATGGAGAAATCCTCATAGTTTTATATAACCCTTGTTTAGATACTGCTTCCACCAGGTTTCTGATGAAAATCTGAAAGAACAAGGTAAACATTTAGATGCCAAGCTGAGCTAAACTAGACTTTAGGAGAAGAAACCTTTATTAAAATAATTGAGAAGGAAGGATTTGAGGAGTACAAAAGAGAGTTCACATGTAAAAAGAGTTGAAATAATAGGGAGAAATTTAAGTAAGTTAAAGGAAAGGGTTAGGGATAGAAGGGATTTTGGGGAAGAATGGAGGAGTTATGTGGTTTAGGCTGTCTTTGGACCTTGCAGATGCTAAGAAAGAAGATTTAGCATACACAAATTGTGAATACAAGCAAAATGGTAAGCTTATTATGGTTTATTGTATGATTTATCAATTTAGAAATCTTATGAAATATTGTTATTTATAATCCTAAATATTCTGATAATTTCTGAAATATATTAAAGCTTTATTGTTTATCTCATACATCATTCTATATAGACAAACCAGTCATTCTTTGCAAGGAATTAATCAAAAACAAAGCTAGACTTCCTGACATGAAGAAACTAAGCTTGACTAACATCCATATCGATCCTGACCTTACAAATAGCTTCCTTGAACACTGTTTTCCAGATAAACTCGAGCTACTAACCATTGACAGGAACGAGATCAGCAGCTGACCAATGGAGGCATTCATGCCTCCATTGGTCAAGGCGCTGAAGAACGTTACTCGTGAAATATTTATAAGAGGGTTTGAACTGAGCACGCAGGATTTTGTAGATGTAGTGCAGAGTAGTGGGCAGTGTAGGAAGTTGAAGTTGTTTGATTGTGTGATTGAGACGAGGAGGGAGTTTAGGCTGGAGATGTCAAGGGAGTGTAGACTTGAGGTGCTGGATTTGGAGAGGTGTGGGAAGTATAGTGACTGGGGGACGGAGGAAGAACAGCTTGATAATGTTTTGAAGGCGATTTGTGAGAGTAATTTGATGAGGAGCTTGAGAGAGATTGCAGTAGCTGATGTTGGGGTTAGTAAAGAGGAGATTCAGAAGAGAATGAATGGATTCCTTATGGAATTTGTGAAGGTACTAAATGGAAATATCTATGTTTTTATATCATATTTATCGATTCTTAGTTTTTGATTGGAAATAAGCAAATAATTTAGTTGCTCTGTTAAGTAACCTTCAATAACTAAGCCAATAATTTTCTTAATTTGATCGCAATAGTCAAATTCATCTATTTAACTTCTAATTTCTTTGCTCTAAACGTCCTATAGGCCCCAATTATAACAGAGAATGCAGACTGGGACGCTGAAGACTAAAGACCAAACCAAGTTATAAAAATAGAATTTCAACAGAATTTCTACTTCAAGGGGTTTTGGGGTTTTGGGGTTTTGGGGTTTTGGGG